CCGCGGGAGAAAGATGAGGCTTTCTACTCCCGTAAAGATTTACACCCTCGGAAACCCTGTACAGGGTCGCTATGGGTCGGAACCAACTCGATGGCACTTCACAACAACAACAACCCTATATAGGGTCACTATGGTTGGAATTGACTCGCGGCACTTAACAACAACATCTAATAGTCTCCCCTGAATCCTGCTTCTATATCCACTTAGGCAACTTTTCCTAAGAGGAAGTTTAATAGGGTTCAGAGTCAGGATTCTGAACTCAGACCACTGGGATGGCCCCCAAGCTCCACCATTTATTTACTAACTGTGTGATTTTGGCATGTTACTTAACTTTTCTGTGCTTTGTTTCCTGAATGTCAAGTAGGAAAAAACAAGAGTATCTACATCTGATAGGGTCATTGTGAAAATTCAATGAGTAAATAATGTAAAGAGATAGTATTGTTGTTGTTAAGTTCCATCGAGTCAGTTCCAAGACTCAGGCTGTTAGTGACCCTGTGTAAGGTTTCCAAGGAACAACTGATTAAGTTTGGACGGTCGACCTTTTGGTGCAAATGATCTCGTGATGCAGTGCTTATCCTATAGTGCCACACCAGGACTCTGATAGTATAGTACCTGACATATAATAAGTGATCAACGAGTTCAGTTATTATTATTCCTCTCATGCAAGTGAAAGTTAATGGGAACACTTTCTATCCAAAAAAAAAAAAAAAAAAGTACACTCACGCTTTCAGCGATACAGATTAGCAATTTGCTATAGATCGTCATAACCTTCAAAGTCAGTAAGTTTCTTTTCCTAGACTAGAAAGCAAAGTGTTTTGTCTCACAGAAGTGACCATTAAAATTATTCCCATACTCTTTTTCTACACCAGTCATCTCCTTGGAAATCTTATATAGGGTCACTTTGAGTTTGAATGGACTCGATGACACTTAACAACAACATCTACAACCAAAAGATCATCTTCTTCCCACCCTATAGCCCTTCTTCAACTGTATCAACAACTTACACGTATATGGTACTTTGAATGGTATAGAAGGTTCTCACAGTCAAGATACCATTTAACCATCTCACAAGAGATGAGTTGTTGTTAGTTGCTGTCATGTTGACCCCTGAACCCTGGTGACCCTATGTACAATGGATTGGACCTTTATGATTTAGAGGGTTTCTATTGGTGGATTTTTTTGGAAGTAGATGCACAGACCTGTCTTCTGAG